TAATATCTTTACTTGTTCATGATACTAATATCAAGCGAGTTTTGACTAACCTAGGTAGCTCTATGAATATCATACTATTGAGAATGGTGAATGAGATGCAAGCGACTGATCATATCTTACCCAAGGCTCGATCTTTGTCTGGGTTCGATAATTCAAGTGTTATAACAAAGGAAGAAATTATTTTAGCGACATTCGCAGAGGGTTTCGTGAAAGATACCAAATTTAAAGTGATGGATGCAGATATGGCTTATAACATAATTGTAGGAAGGTCGTGGATTCACGACATAGATATGGAATCGGCAATATTACATCATGTTATCAAATTCCCATCACAATAGGGAGCTCGCCAGATTAGGGGAGATCAACAAGCAACACGAGAAACTAACACGGTCACTATGGCTAATGGAACACCTAAGGACGAAGACCAAAAATAGCAATTCAAGTGTCCAGTTGGGGTATAAGACAAATTCTCCTCAACTGAAAGTAAGAAGAATAAAGCAGACATAGATGCGAGACTCGATGTGATCAGGACCCATAAAAGAGCGAAACTATTAAAACAATTAAGGAAGAGCTCGAACTTATTATATTGTTCGTCCACTGTCCTGACAGAAAAGTCTATATTGGAGCAAACCTGAACTGAGAGATGAAAAGTAAGTTTATTGAATTTTTATGCACTAATAATGATTGTTTTGCCCGGTCGCACTCAGATATGACAGGTACACCGCCGGAGGTAATGACTCACAAATTAAATGAAGATCCATTATACCCCCAGGTAAAACAAAAGAAACGAAAGCAAGAAGCATTCAGAAATCAGGTAATTCAAGGGGAGGTACAGAAACTTCTGAAAATTGGTTCAATTCGAGAGGTAAAGTACTCCGAGTAGCTAATGCTGACAGCCAATTTATTTTATTTTTTTAAGCTAAAAAAATTAATTTATTTATACTTAATAATTTTCAATGAACAACAACAACAACAATAAACCCAGTATAATCACACAGATGGGGTCTGAGGAGGGTAATGTGTACGTACACCTTACCCCTACATGGGGAGGTAGAAAGGTTGTTTTTAATAGATCCTCGGCTCAAGAAAAGGTGGCAAAGAAAAAAAGGGATGAAGAGGAAGAAAGATGGGGAAGAGGGAGATAAAAGACAATTAGGAAAATAATTTGCAATGAAATATTTTGAAAATATTTTCAATCAATAATATCTATTTTACAAAATTAATTAAGTATTAGTAGTTTTAAAATTAATAGTTTAGTATTGTAATTATAATTACAAAATATATCGTACTTACTATTTTAAGATTATTTAAGTAGCTTTCATATACATCACATAGGCTTCATAAATTAATTTAGCAAATTGCTCCTTAATTTCTAGTTAATTAGACCAGTATATTAATAATTCGAAATTAGTGTTAATTTAGAAAATAAAGTATTTTAAAAATAATTAATTACAATAATTAGTAGTATATTTGATAATTATAACTTTTACTATATTTTATTAAAAATAATTAAGTTTATTTAAATTAATTTCAAAATGGTTAAAAGGCTAAAAAGCTATAATTGCAATTCTTTAATTAAATATAGAGTGCCTACCATTTAAATTAATTTTGGCTCAAATAACCAAGCCCAATCCCAATTGACCTAGTCCAAACAACCCTTCCAATCCACCTTGGCAATCCATACCACTCCCTTTAAACTAATGAGATCATGTCACGCTACTCGTCTCCAACACACACACAAAAAAACACAATTGATCTAGGCCATCCATTTCTTAGATCACAGACCACAATTTTTGACTCCACTTTCTCTTTAATTTGAAACACCCAGTAGATTTAATTATAGCCGTTGGATCACAAGAATCTAACGGCCACTAAAATTCTTCGTAAAAACCTTTTAATGCCCGAATTTTCAAGACCGTCGGTCATCAAATCCAACGGCTCAGATCCCATCTCCCTATATTAATCCTAGAGATGACTCCAACTATCCCCCTAACCCTTCCTCTCTCATTTCTCTCAATACCACAGACCTATCAATCTCAAAACCTTGCACTAATTAGTGCAAGGTCATGAATCATGACCAGAAATCATCCTTTCTGTCTTCATTACCCACTATTCTCGCTAAATCTTTGCCTATTTCATCTTTGAAATTCAAATTCCCTAAATCCGAAAACCCTAGCTAGACGATGAAACTTCAAATCGATTGTGTTGCTGCTATGATCTTTTTAATCCATGGCATGCATGGCTGCGTCTTCAGCTTCATCATCACGATTTTTTGTCCTGAGGTCAAACACGGTGACCTATGGACATTAGGGCTTGACCACTGGGTTGAGAACTTCAATAGTCGACCTTCTCTCTTCTCAGGTAGAAAATCCTCACCATTTTCCCTCGATTCTTTCTTATTTCACCCGATTATGCTCACATCATCAACTCATCGTTATTTCCACTCACTATTTTGAATCTACTAGAATCCTAAGTTATTGAACGACACAATAAATAGGGTCTTTAATTATCTCACCTAACAATCACCAACAACTCCTAACAATCTGAAAGAATTAATAGCTAAAACAGTAGTGATTAGAATCTTTTCAATTGAGGCTAAGTCCCTACTCGATTTCTGTTTCCTCTCTTTTTCTGGTTTGGAGTTACTAATAGGAGTCTGAGTCTTGGACTTCTAAACGGCTAAACTAAGCCTTTTGCTTGTTTTGCTTCCCTAAAGAAGGTCAGTAAAACCCCAACTCTACTCTTCCTTTTAATCGTTTGAATTTGCAAGCATTATTTTTTTCTATTATCTCTTACTAAATGATGTTATATGGTAGTGTGTTATGGCCAACTGCTTTCATGTGTTTGTGAATGACATATGGTTGATAAATTGATCCTAGAATCGTAAGTTCCTTAAATTGTTGAAATTTGAACTATGTATTGATCCTAATGAACATCTGATAACTTATACCTACTGGTAAGCTTTGAAAACAGCCAAAGAACCTCTCAAATCTTGATACCTAATTTCAGACCTCCCTGATGTTCTATTAGCACTACTATGTTATAACCTGCCTTGAGTATTATTTGCATTTTGCAGTGATTTATCTGATAAATTAGACTTAAGNTTCATGACATTTGAACATATCTCTTCTTTTTAACATGCCTCTGTGATTCTGTTAACTCTTAGAAGGTCATTGGTCATCTGATTAAACCTGTTTGATCACACTATATAAGTATGTCTTAAGCTGATTAGATTCATGTACTACTCTTGTGTGTATTCTGGAGGTTACCATACACTTGACCTAAGTTATGAGGTTTAGTTAAGACATGTCTATATTCTGATATTTCATCTATTGAGCGAAAGTACTGAAATTAAGTTTCACCATACCTAAAACCCCACACTTGATTTGCCTAACAAGACCCCTATTGTAATCACTCCCCTTTTCTGGAATTCATGAAATGACACTGTTAGTTTGATTGTGTTAACACCTTATAATGGTATGATCCCTGCTAAATGTCTCTTATGATCCCACTAAATGTCTCCTATGATCCCTGCTAAATGTCTCATGTGGGTGTTTCTTTGGATACCCTGCACTCATTTTGTTCTTCTATACTTCTGCTGGGCTTTCGTTACCATGTACATGTCTATGTTGTCCTTAAAAGATCACTAAGCTCAGATGAATGAACTAGACTCAGCTTGTGAACTTAAAGTGAATTTCATTGCTACTGCTCGAGTGTAATAGCATGCTTTATTCTCCAGTGAGATTAGTATGAAGTTGAAGGCTCTTAGAAAGAAGTAATCATGTCATTTACTTTAGAGTAAAAGAAACTGTTAACCTATATCTCTGAGTAATACTCTTTAAAAGTTTCAATTGAAGTTGTTAACTTGTATGTATGCTGGAAGTTAAGACGTAATTAAAACAAATCCTTTGACTAATTTGATTAATTGATTGTTATTTGTTTTTCTTATTTGGTTTCAATGGTACTTTCACGGTGTTCTCATGACTTTACTGTTTATATCACATGTTGATTCTTGTTGCCATTTACTATTCTTTCTTTTATTATTATTTTGACTAGTAGATGTTTTGCCTTGTACCTCGTCACTACTCTACCAAGGTTAGTCTTGCCGGTACATTTTAATTTGCTTTCAGTTCACTCCAACTTAATATTAAGTGATTTTCTAAAACAAGAAACTTGTAATACTTCAAGGCAAAAATATTTTTGGATAAAAATTCAACGAATAACGATATCTATTCAAACTTTCAAGTACTTAAATTTTTCTTACAATTATACAAGAAATTGTAATTTACACGAGTTAAAAGACAAAAAAAAGGACCTATAGCAAATTCACACAAATTAATCAATCTGATTTAACTGCCCAACAACAAATCAAATAATTAATACCTAAAATTAGGTTCACAAAAGCTAGAAAAAAGCTAAAAAAAGAAACCACGCCGTGATATTTGAGACCATGATCAATCGTTGTCTTGGAATAACTTGAAAAACTTAGAAGAGGTCAAGTCGTTGAAAATAATTTTCAAATTTATTAGCCAAACACAAACTGTTTCTCACTAAAAATACTTTTTTGAAAAGTACTTTTGCGCAAAACACATCTCAAAATAAGCTGATTTTAGAAGTTTAAACAAAGAAGGTATCAGTTGCATCAAACTCCAGCTCCAGTTCTCTCCTGTATTTTGCAGAATCATCAGCAAAGAACATGACATCACTTTTCTCTAGCTTATTGTTTGCCCACATCTTTATCACAAATGCATCATTCGCATCTTCAAAATCGAGAAACAACAACCTACAGATGATATTACTCAATATTGCAAGTTAATTGAAAATACTGTGACAATATAGAGAAAACGGGAAGGAGGTAAAAAATCATCGGGTACACCAGAGAGTTAAATTTCCAGCAGCAAGGCTGTGCACTGCCCATTCTGAATATCAGTGATAAATGAAGGTAGCATCAATATTATCAAAAGTTCCTCCTGCATCTAATATATGGCATACTCTTCTTAGGATATTCCACATTTTTATTATATTATTACGAAAGATTTGGGTGGTGTACACATGTATTAACATGTTTCCACCTCAACCTTGGACCAATTTGTTACATTGCGGATTTAATTGCCTCCAACACACAGTGGAGCAAGTAATCCGAGCAGCAAGAAGTTTTTTATTACTATATTAAAGCATTCTTCATACAAACTGTGATATTGTGGAATAGAACCGAGTACTTATATTTCAAAAATATAATTGGCATTACATTCCAGAAGCTCGGTAAATACAGCCAAAAACACACGGAAGGCAGTGATGAACCTTAAAGAGCCTTGAGGATTTCATCAGCACCAGAGACAGTGAACTCCCCTCCAGATTCAATGTTGGCCGCTTTCACCTTGAGGTCCACAACCAAAAGAGCATACCTTCGAGATCGAACACCAAGCCCCTTTTCAGACAGGTCTAGCTCAAGCCCGAGAGCATGAGTGTATTTTCCAGCTCCGTCGGCAAGGAATTTAACATGTTTGTTATCCGGGTATGTTTTTGCCCAGGCCTTCATCACAAAGGGGTCATTAACTGCAGCAGGAAGCAAACATGTAACAACTTCCATAACAATACACCAAGCGCAATAGAGAAAAAAATGCACATGAAGGTCAGCAGAAATGACTATCGTGCTGCATTCCTTCTAATGGGTGTTTTAGTTATATTCTGTTCACCAGAAGAAATCATTGGCTCTTAGCAGAGGCTAATAAACCTGCTACCACTTAAAAATATGTTTAAAAATTTGCAATCCACCTCTTTACCCTGGTAGTTCCCACCTGTTGAACGTCAGTTTGAACCAGCAGCAAGAGAGCGCCACTCTGGCATATTATTCAGACACCACGACATGGATAAAATATAATCACTGGAAAAAGTGGTACTTGCACTAAAGATATGATCAGTTTTTGCTGATGACGATGCACTCACATACCAAGATCTGCTAATCTTACTGTCTTAATTGGCCCATTTTTTATCTCCACAAGCCAGTTCAATGATCCTGATATTTGCTGGCTATGCCTACACTCTTTACGCCTCTCTACTTATGGATTGAAAACAATTATCAGCTGAGAACAAAACAAACTGCGAGAACAAAGTCGTCCCTACTTCTGAACCTTCTAATGAATTGTGATTTTCTTCCTGTAAATTATGCAACAAATGAAGCGTGGAAATTTGGTAGAACTCCATATAAAGATCAGGTAAAAGGAAAAAGGTAAGAAGAGATGAAGCATGATGTTGGCACAGCAGGCAAGGACACGAGGGCAGTTTTGTAACTTATGAAAGTGAAGTACATGAACAAATCACCTTAGAATTGAGAAGCTACTTCTAGATCTGCAGTGATTTTGCATAGTTTTGTAATCAAATCCGACACCAACCATGTGAAGCTCCAATATGTTTCAGCAGGAAAAGGGGTGACAACCTAGTTACAAGGATCGTCCACCTTCAACCATTAGGTTGGGTGTTCAGGTCTAAAAGTAGGAAAAGCCACTGTTGGGTTCCTTAGAATGCAGAATTGCGGATTTAGGGATAGGGAGTTACATTGATCCCATAAGACAAAAAAATGTTCGAGCACCCCGAGAGGGATAAGAATATCACAAGTTGTCATAGTAAATGAAGGATAAGGAAGAAAAGTCATGAGAGAAAACATTTTCGTTGGGTTGTACCTATGACAGTTTTCCTGTAGGTGATTGGATGTACCCTTTGCCTTACAAACAAAAGTGTTTTCCAAAGGATTGGGAGAATTAGCGAGGTTCCATTTTATCTTTAAAATTGTTGGAGAACTAAAATAAAAAAATATGTTCCATGTCAAATAGCTTAAACTTTTAAATGAGCTAATTCACACATTCAATACAATGCTAGAGTAGACCAAGCTTTTGATATCAAGTCCATCCGTAAGCTAAAAATATTTCACGAGCTTGGCCATGAAAAGATTTAGGTCTCATTTGTTTGCACTTAATGGAGGTCTGAATCTTAATCATTCTGATCTAAGACATTAAGTGCGTTTGTTTTTAAAAGCCTGAATCTTAATTATTCAGATCTTAATCATTAAGTGTGTTTGTTTTTTTTACTTCACAACCACTTAATGGGTCTGAATAGGTCTGTAAGATTAAGATCTATAACAGTGACTTAATTTCATTAAGATGCTATCACATATTCATTATTAACTGCCGTCACCGCCTACCATTAT